TTTTCTTACATGTGAGATCCAATTCAGACTTATCACCAGATAATGAATTAAATGGAATGTAATAACTTATCATATGTTAGTAGCAGACGGACGTTATATTAAAACAAATAATACAGCCAACAAACAACTTTTATGTAATGGTATTATTTTACAGGTATAACTGCAAGCTCTAGTAATGTTATTGCCGAAGCTTCGCTACTTCAACTGCCTCGGACAGGTCTGTATAATTATGATACAACTATAAGTATACTTAAATATGATCATTAAATTGCTTTTTATTAATCTGGGGGTACATTTATTTTGTTTATGTATATGTATTCAAGTCTGTTAAAACCTTCACTTGATTTTAAGCCTAATACATCGAGAGATGAATTAAAAACTCATTAAAGAAATTTGACATATTGTGGTAACCTGGCGTGCATGTCATGTCAGTCATGTGTATATCAATCCACTTTAACACAATTTGTGGAATCGAATTGATATACGGGACAGATTCGATCCCGGCGGGAGATTTGAATTTATGCCTGAAATATGGGAACAGGCAACACTAGTTATTATATATTTATGATCCAATCAAAAGCAACTAACAAAAGTAAATTGCTTAATACATATTGATAATGTATTCTTTATTATTTTTAGTAAAAGGACCTACACTGCAGCAAGTATGGTGTGAACACAATTATAGTGCTGCTAGCAATTATAGACGTCATTCTATAAATCGTAAGTTATCCAGTTCTTTGTAGTAGTTACTATATTTTATAAAATTCACTACATAGTATTTACAAATGTTTTCACACATGTTTTCAATTAGATTCCCAAACGCTAAGATAATATGTGATACCTATGTCTTTCTTTAAATAATGACTATCTAATAATATTATATAGAGATAAATAATGTTTGTGAATGATCAATTGAATTGGTAGGAATGAAGTAATCTTCGAAATTACTCAACTGATATTAAAAATGCTATGTTGTCACTTAGTGTTAATACATACAGTTACTGCCAGTTTCTGAATTGAAAAAAGTACAAAAACTCAATAACTTAAGTTTTTTATGGTTCATGTGGAAAAAGGATATAAGGATATGGAAAAAGGATATAAGGCACAAACGTCCATTAGGTTTAATTATGCCTTTAAGCTCTAATGAATGTCAAATTTGTATTGGTAATGTCGCTTGAAACTAATGACAATTTCAATGGACGTTTGTGCAGCTGGATGTTAGTTTTATCAAGCTGCTATGAAATGATCATTAAAAAAAAATAGAAATGAAAACCTGTTTCAGTAACGTTTAAAATGGTTTAAGTATGGTTTGAGATTTGCTTAACTTTAAATTCTCAATTCTGAAACCGGATGTTAGCTAACTATATTTGACTCCCGAAATTCTCAAGGGAAGTGGAAACTCATATGGATGAAGTTGGGTTGGAACGTCGGATCTGGAAAATTATTTTTGTATGATTATAGTTAAGGCTGTAATCTTATTCCTGGAATGAAATGCAAGCAGGCTGTTAGTCTCTTATAAAATGGTTTCATTAGGCAGTTGTTAAATATAGCCGTGTAATGCAATTTCTTATCACAACTGCACAAATTAATGTTTGCTCTTTTTCTTTTTTAAGGTGCTGCTAAAGAAAGCAGCTTCAACTGCATGCAAATCAGTTACATGCGTGGGGAGGTCAAACAGCTTCGCAGTGAAATTTGTCGATTGAAGAGGAATGGAAAGTTCCAAATAAGACTCAACAATGGCAACAAATTACTGGAAAGTGTTGCATTTCGCCGAGTGGTAGAAAAGATGTCCAAACCGTCCCAGTTGTTACTCAATATGCAATTGCAGGGTAACAAAAAAGCTAAAGGTAGACGATTTACTCTCCAAGAGAAAGTTTTATCTTTATCTTTATATAAAAAAAGCCCTAAGTGCTACACACTTTTACAAAAATATTTTACCTTACCATCAGTCAAATGTATGAAACGGCTTTTAAGTAAAATAATAATAGGCCCAGGGATAAACCCTATTGTATTTGATAAAATAAAAAAAAATGTATCAGAAAAAACTACTTCACAGAAACTGTGTAGCTTAATATTCGACGAAATGTCAATAACACCAAATTTAAATTACAATTATAATAAAGACATAATTGAAGGATTTGCCACAAATAATTATAAAAAGTTTGCTGATCATGCCTTAGTATTCATGGTTAAAGGAATAACTCAAAACTTTAAGCAACCCATAGCATATTATTTCACGAATTCATTAAATAAATATGAATTAAAAAAATTGATACTAACAGTCATCCGCCACGCCCAAGACGCTGGTTTAATTATTATTAACACAGTGTGTGACCAAAGCAACGTAAATGTTAGTTGCATAAATGATTTAATACAAAAATCGAAAGCGGTACATTTGCGAAAAGGAATAGAGTGGCGGCATGACTGTTTTTTTGTCAATGGTCATAAAATCATTCCTTTATATGATACTCCACATTTAATGAAAGGATTAAGAAATAATCTTATTACAAAAGATTTAATTTATGTCACAAATAATGATAAAAAGACAGTAAAATGGGAATATTACCAAAAAGTGTATAGCGCAGACAAGTCATATGGAGAACTTAGGTTGCTTCATAAAATCACTGAAGAACACGTTATCCCAGAGAAAATAAATAAAATGAGGGTGAAAACTGCAACACAAATTTTCAGTCATAGTGTTGCAGTTGTCACTGAACACCTTACTGCTAGGGGAGATCTTCCAGAAGAATGTAGGCAACTTATAGATATCACATTATTATTAAATAATTTATTTGACTCCCTAAATGTAAGCAGTTTATATATAACAGATGGGAAAGTCTACAAGGGTCCAATAAAAAATAATTCACCGCATCATCAACTTTGGGCAGAAAGTAAAAAAATTTTAGGTACTGCTAAATTCATTGTTAAAAAGTTTAATGATAATAATAAAATTCTGCAACTTGAAAAAATAGTACCTTCAATAAAGAATTTAATTAAAACAATTGAAGGCGTGGAAGCAATTTGGCAAATAATCTCAAAAAAATACGGCTTAGATGCATTGCTGACAAGAAACTTAAATCAAGATCCAGTCGAAAATTTTTTCGGAAGCATAAGGAGTTGTGGTGTCAGAAACATTGCCCCCAATACCATTTCATTTGAAGGGGCATTTAAAGCTTTATTACTTAATAATTATAATACAAGTCATTCAATAAGGGCTAATTGTGAAAAGGATGAAAACGATTACCTACAAAATTTAGATTTCTTTATAAAAGAGCCATATGCAGAAACACATTTTCAGTCAGATCTGGCACCTAATTCACAATCCGAAATTATTTTTAATGAAGAGTTACTACAAGAGTATAATCCCATTGAAGATGCTGGACAAAGTAATTATGTATGCGGTTGGGTAATTACCAAATGTTTAAAAAAAATTTGTAAGTCGTGTCAGCAATGCAGACAGACATTGCTTCTTTCAGAGCCACCAAAAACATCTTATACAAGATCCAAAGAATATAAGGGAAAAAATTGGCTTATATATCCTTCAAAAGATGCTGAAAATTGTTTTAAAGAAATTCAGGGTATAACATTATCGTTTTTAAAAAAAAATGTCGTTATAAATAAAATAAGAAAAACGATAAGTGATTTCTGTAATTTATTAATTGCATGCCCTTTTAATTGTTCAGTACATAAAGAGGAATTAAAAAATTATTTTATCAATATTACAATAAAATTGTTGTTATATAGCTGGTGCAGAAATGTAAATAGGATTTTGTCTGGCAAAATTTCATACTGTGGTGAGGAAGAAATAAAAAAAAACGCATCTATATATTATAACAAACATAAAAAATACAGAAATAGAAAATAGCTGCAATGCAACTAGTCTTTTATAGAAATCAAAGATTAGGTAGCTACCAATTTCAAATCACTATCTGCTTGCAATTTGGCAAGACTTGTAGTTATAGTTTTTGTTGGCAAATTGTAGCACTTGTAGTTTTATATTATTTAAAATTAATTAAATTGTGGTACTTGTTTCACTATTTTCTCTATAATTTGTCCTACCAAATAATGCCATCAAAATTCTAAGACGCTATTCAACAGAGGCTTATCTACAAAGAGAAGAGCTAAAAATCATTAGATCCATCAAGATATTTTGTTTCCTGTGATTTAAAAAATATGTAAAGTAAAAATAAACTAATTTTTGAAAATAATGTCTTTGATTTCGCTTTTTTACAAATAAATAGTATGTACAGAAAACGATTGAGTTTTCATCTCAATTTTTGTTTGATTTGGACTGCACTTTATTGTTCTAATAAATAATTCAGATGTAAACTCTTTCGTTTTCTATACATACTATTTATTCTAAAGAAACCTTTAAAGTGACAGGTATATCTATGTATTATATCTATCTAGGTATACCTATATATTATAGCAAAGTTTTCGGGGACGAAATTCAGATGGCGCTTCAAAATGATTGGCACGGAAACCTGCGAGCAACAAGGCAATAGCCGGCAGTTGACGCTTTTGCTCCGCAACTTACATTGTGGTTTCCAGGGAGAAACTCCAAAGGTAACCTAAGTAACTCGATAAAAATATTTGTACTATATATTTTACCGTCACTTTACCTGCTTAAATTAAAATGGCCCTTGTTACCCATTATGATGTCGCTTCCCATAGTTGAAGTAGCCCTTATCATTGTGTCGTATCAGCCGGATACGACGGTAGTTACGCTACTACTCAATATCCAAGTAGTAACTTACATCACCCATAAAAAGGTAACCCGAGCGTTACGATATATCCAAGTCTAATTTATTTTAAGGCACTTCTTATTGCAGATTTGTTGTCCACCAGAATTCTCTGGGCAGACAGGCGGGGATCTTAGTAGGAATGGCGGCGGCTACGTGGACCCCTACAGCCTGCTACCGTCGCTAGAGCAGTGTGGGGCACAGAACACTGATAGAATAGTCGGCGGGACTCAAACAGAGATCGATGAGCATCCCTGGATGGCGCTCATACGATATGACAAACGTGAGTGTTGTCATTTCTTCTATAGTATAGTGTTTCGTGCGTCATTTTTATGATGACGCTGTCTCCGAATTCCCCAGCACCCGTAGCATGACGGACTCGAGAACGTTTTGTCTACACATGTCAATTTTCTCGGGTGCGCCCATACTATATCTCATTATTTTACAAATAAATAGTCCGTTAATATCTAAGAAATAATGTTAGAAGTAACAGCATGTTGCCATAATGAATGTTGCAACGTTTTATACAACCAATTTAATGCCATATGTGTTTTAGCAAATTTTTATAGCATATTTTCCCTACTTTTTTAGTGTCTGACTGAAACTGACATTTTGACGTGAAACCGAAACCGAAACCGAAACTTCCTTACAAAGACCATATTTTGTTGGAAAAATTAAGAAAACGTTTTTATAATCAGTCAGTCTTTATTTTCTTATCTTTAAATCACAAAGCTATCCAGTCTTAGACATTTTCATCATGATAATCACATACTTAACAGCCCCTCAATCCCCTCATTAATGGAACAAATAATTGTGCCTTAAAAGTATTAAAATACGAGTAGATGAGGTGTTTATTTGTGCAGTTAGATGGAATCTATCCATTCATGTTTTTTTTTAAATATTTTAAAAATTAAAATTGTTATCTAATATCACAATAAGTTTAAAGTTGTTATGTATATCACAATAAGCACTTACTAATAAAGTAATAATCAAAACAAAAAATATTTTTAATATAAATAAATTAACGTCTTCTAAATTGAATTCAACATTGTGTATAAACACTTCGATAAAAAAAAAATATGATTAATCACAGCGCGAGAATGCAGTTTCGGTTTCGGTCGTAATTTCGGTAGGTTTGCCACAGCAATCGAAGCTAAACCGAAACTCGTGTTTTCGACCGAAACTGAAACCGAACATTCAGTCGGACAGGATACTTTTTTCAAATTTTCAAAGCGTAATATTATCCAAATTAGTGTCATAAATTTTATTTTGTTTAATATTTATAAGTTAAAATGTTTACACTTGATACAACCCTATTCTATATGTCAACATTTATGTGTAAGGAAGACATTACACTAAAAATATTGGAATTTAATAGAAAGTACCAGAGTAAAATGCAAATCGTTGAGATTCTATTGAGATGCAATTATTACGTAAACGTTAGCAAGTGTAAACATAACAACTTAAAACTTATTGTGATATTAGATAACAATTTTATTTTATAATATTTAAAAAAAAAACATGAATGGATAGATTCCATCTAACTGCACAAATAAACACCTCATCTACTCGTATTTTAATACTTTTAAGGCACAATTATTTGTTCCATTAATGAGGGGATTGAGGGGCTGTTAAGTATGTGATTATCATGATGAAAATGTCTAAGACTGGATAACTTTGTGATTTAAAGATAAGAGAATAAAGACTGACTGATTATAAAAACGTTTTCTTAATTTTTCCAACAAAATATGGTCTTTGTAAGGAAGTTTCGGTTTCGGTTTCGGTTTCACGTCAAAATGTCAGTTTCAGTCAGACACTAAAAAAGTAGGGAAAATATGCTATAAAAATTTGCTAAAACACATATAGCATTAAATTGGTTGTATAAAACGTTGCAACATTCATTATGGCAACATGCTGTTACTGCATTCTCGCGCTGTGATTAATCATATTTTTTTTTTATCGAAGTGTTTATACACAATGTTGAATTCAATTTAGAAGACGTTAATTTATTTATATTAAAAATATTTTTTGTTTTGATTATTACTTAATTAGTAAGTGCTCATTGTGATATACATAACAACTTTAAACTTATTGTGATATTAGATAATCTTTTTAATTTTTAATAAAAAAAAACATCAAAATCAAAATCAAAATGTTAAGTATGTGATTATCATGATGAAAATGTCTAAGACTGGATAGCTTTGTGATTTAAAGATAAGAAAATAAAGACTGACTGATTATAAAAACGTTTTCTTAATTTTTCCAACAAAACATGATCTTTGTAAGGAAATTTCGGTTTCGGTTTCACGTCAAAATATCAGTTTCAGTCGGACACTAAAAAAGTAGGGAAAATATGCTACAAAAATTTGCTAAAACACATATGGCATTAAATTGGTTGTATAAAACGTTGCAATATTCATTATGGCAACATACTGTTACTTCTACATTATTTATCAGATATTAATGGACTATTTGTAAAATATAAAAAAAAGGTCTACAAGCCTAGTTGGACAGCTAGCCACGCAGGCTCAGCACGGATAGGTAGGTTAAGAATGTAGTTGCAGCTAGAACAAAGCACAAAGGTTCTCAACATAATTCAATTTTTAGGATTCTGTAGAAAACAATGAACCTTTATAGTTTTCCCATATCCGTCCGACCGCGGTTTCACTCAAAAACTATTGGTACTAGTTGAGAGTCCTCAAACAGTTGAAATAAGTGACACTTTAAATTATCCAAACTAATAAAAAAAAATATTCGGAGTACAAAGGGACACATCATGAAACAAGAGAGTGAGAAAGACGGTAAACCAGAACGCGTCTAACTAAAACTAACACAGTAGCGCCGTCTGTGTATAACTAGTGCATGTCGATAAAAACGGATCATTCAAATTAATAATTTAAAAATACATTCAAGTGTATAGTTTCTTATTTACCAGTATTAGAACAAAGGCGTTTTCTTCGTCTTCCCTATTGTGTTGGCGTCGTTCGATACGTACCTATTTCAAAAACATTAGGGGTTTGGAAAAGCCATTTTTCGATTTAATTAACCATTTGTGACTTATTAAGAATTAAAAAGATAATTTTTATAAGTGTCAAGTGTCCTCCCACCCTCTACCAAATAAACGGTCGTTGGTAAAAATTCAAACGTAACGGTAACGAAGTTAAAAGGAAAGCTATCACACTTAAGTTGGCTTTACAAGTTTACAAATAACAGTCGACCAATTGTATTTAGGTAACTCGAAAATTTCGAACATACTCCATAGAAAACAGGAAACGTGATTTTTTTTTATGGATAATGAATATAGATAATGCACTTTGCCGGCTTTGAATATTTGATTGATGTTACATTATAACACAAAAGTGATTGATGCTTAATAAGAATAGCTATTTAAATTTATTTATGTACAGTTTTGGTACTGTGTTGAAATGTGATCAGAGCATTCATTGAACATGTTACTGTTTTCAGCTAGAGGTTGGGGCTTCTATTGCGGTGGCGTCTTAATATCACCAAAATACGTTTTAACCGCTGCTCACTGCGTCAAAGGAGAAGATTTACCGAAAAATTGGCGACTGTAAGCTATCTAACACATTCTAGAACGTGGTTATATCTTTAGTCCATGTCATAGTCAGGTATTATAAAATAAATTTCCGTGAAGAAATTTGAGAATTCGTCACTTATTGTATATAATAAAATAATTTATTTAAGAAAACCAAAAGCTGAAACATGGTTGCGATAATTAGACAGATGTAACTCAAATTAAGCCAATAACAGGTTTCCATAGATATTAACAATATCATCAAAAAGCTTTTCAGTAATCAACTATATATATTAAAAAGAATAGTCATATTTACTGTACTTTATATAAATTTCAAGTATTTTAGAATAAGAAATAGGTATCTCTTTATCACTGTTACTGTCACTATGATAATTCAATACAATAATACTGACACAAAACAACTTAGAAAAGAAATTAATTTATTTTTGATGATAATTAAGGAACCGTAATACGTTCGCGCGTACGGCTCGGTGTTATCAGAATTTAAGAAGTTGTATTTGAAATTATGATGATGGAAAATAAAGTCAATTCTTTAATATATAGATTGCGAAACGTCTTGATTTCGAGTCCCATCTCAGAGTGCCAGGGACAAAGTGGATTCTTTAAATATTTTTCATTAAGAATATTTTCAGTATAGCATTGTGAATGCAAAAGTGATCAAATAATTAAATAAAACTGTTCATCAGGTCTCAAGTCCGCCTAGGCGAGTGGAACACGACAAGCTCAGTGGATTGCATAGATACAGACTGCAGTGGACCGCCCCAGGACGTGCCTGTGGAGAGGGTGATACCACACGAAGATTACGACCCCGCAGACATTCACCAGGCAAACGACATTGCTCTACTCAGGCTAGAACATAATGTAGTCTTTAACGGTGAGTTCACTAAATAGTTTTGTTTCATAAACACTTATATATTAAAATATTCTAACCTTTGTTTCAACTTATAACTGGAGTTTATATCTGGATTTTATTGTGTGTTTTCAGACTTTGTAAAACCCATCTGCTTGCCGACTTCAAACGATTTAAAACGGACGTCATTAGTAGGTTCCGACATGGAAGTGGCAGGCTGGGGCAAAACTGAAACACGTAAGTCCGATTAAAGCTATAAGTAACTCTACCAATTGAATTCCATAGGATATTTGTGGTATTTGACACTTACCCCATTCTAATGACTTAGCTATAAAGATATCCTAATAATATTATAAATGCGAAAGTTTGTTTGATCAAAAACTACTGAATGGATTTTGATGATATTACTAATTCTATGCCTGAATTAACATTCATTTTTTATCTCACTACACGGTTTTCTAGTGATAATGTACTTTCAAAAAACCGTTTAAACCACGCGGGCGACGCCGCTGGTCCTATACATTTAGTTTTTTAGGTCATAATGTAAAAGTAATATGTCGGTAGAATTTATTGTAAAAAGTTGCGAGATAATTAAATAGAATTAAACGCTTTTAATGTTCGACAGAAAACGAAACTTTCGAAATCGTCGTTTTAAACAGCGGCGCTCAAACTTTACTATCAGGTGGGCAGGAATTCCCAGAGAATGTGTTTCCTATTGAATGATGGAAATGAGCTTAATTTACCTACTTGAGCATTTTGGACATGCCGTATCGCCTATTATATCTTAGTTCGTGGCAACAGTGACGTAGCTTTACATGGGCGAAGAGGGCTATCGCCCCCGGCCTCGCAATAGGTAAAGAAACCGCCGTGTGAATGTTAAACTAAACTGTACTTCAATACCTTCAACACGCCAAGAAAACCGTCGGCTTGTATACGTTCACAAAAACAGTAGAATAGATAGATTTAGTAGATTTTGGAAACGACTACTTTGAGTCCCTTCCAAAATGACTACATAATAAAGCTTCGTCCACTACTACTACGCTACGACACTGTACAGAACTTAACAATACTGCTATATTATGCATGAAATTTATTCCTGTATGTGGTCGACATCGTATTCTATCTTTAAACTAACCGAATGAGGTTCGCAATAAACCTACTACTTCGCATGTAATTAAGTAACTACCTGCCTACTTGTATTGAAAATTACTTAGTTTTAAATAACTAAACGCTTGAAATTAATTTAAACTTGCATTGAAGGTATACCAACACAACGTCTAAGAAAATATTAGTGTTTTTTGCTTACGGTCTCTATTATCCCAAACAGGCTCCGAGTCAGATGTGAAACTCAAAGTGGTGGTGCCTGTGGTGGACAACTCGCAGTGCGCTAATGTCTTCAGTAGAGTAAGTCGCACTATCACCAGTAAACAAATGTGCGCGGGCGGCGTCGCCGGGCAAGACTCCTGCCGCGGCGACTCCGGCGGACCACTGATGGGCAAGGTTCGAAGCCATAGTAACTGGTTTGTGTTCGGCGTGGTCTCGTACGGGCCATCGCCCTGTGGCACTCCAGGCTGGCCCGGCGTATACACAAGAGTTACTGAATATACTGATTGGATATTATCAAAACTAAAACCCTAATATTTTTAAAATTCAATAAAACAAATCTCGAACTTGTGTTAAAGCATTAATTTAATCCTATCATGAGACGGCGTCGTAATTGGCTAACGATTTCGCTATGTTTTAACTCATTAGCGCCGCTCCTATAAAGATATTTAGATAGCGTAGGAGCGTCATACTTACCTTCAGCTGCTTCTAAACGGAGAAGTCCTTCGGTTGGAAAGTCGTGGTACCTTGTCTTTTCTACTGACTTATCAATGATCGATGCATTAAATTTTATAAATAAACCATTTTGCTCTTCTCTTCCCGCACAGACTATCCATATAGCAGAATAGGTACCGCACTCATCTCTTTCCGTCTAACCGAGGCACTACCCTGCTTGGTGCTGAAGGTCTTAGTTCGATGACACGTTAAAACAAAAACAAGAGCTTTGACGATGATAACGCGATTCAATTTCTAAAGAGATATGATATCATGTAATTTGTTTGCTCGTAGCCTTCGATCAACAATAGAACTCGTAGCCAATTTGGACAAAGACCCCCTAATAGTACCTAGGTATAAAGATAACCTACAATCTTATAACTGTTAAGTTTGAATTGCATAGCGCCAGCTTTGATTTTAAATACCTACTGAGCCTACTACTTACCTAGTCGTATTTTCAGAGCAAATGTGTCAGATTTGTAACGTGTTCAAAAATTGTTTTGTATAGTGAGTGCTAGGACGTTTATCGTACCTATCGACATTATGTTCATTAAGTTAATTAATTATAAGGAATACCTATAAGAAATATCATCCATATTTTATTTTTAATCCCGATAAAATAAGTGCCATTTTTAGGTGCTATCCTTGTACAAATTATTATGAATAAATTGACGTTCCTGAAAATACAAAGAATTTCGTTTTTATCGCATATCTTTTGTGGAACTACCTACCCCATGAAAATGTTTAAAATTTTAAACTTGCATAATATTGCATATTGGAATGTATGATATGGAATCCTTGAACCCTTGGAAGGATGGGTACCCAAAATCTATAATCTCGAGCAGTCCCTTACTTCAAATGCCTCGGTTGGTCCCTACATTTCTATGTCATCCCTGCGTGTTATAATAGGAAAGGCCTGTGAAAAGTTGAAACACGCTGTCTATGGCCAATAAAAAAAAAGAAACCAGCGTTAGTTGTGTAATTGGAGACACGTTAATAAAGCGCAGTAATATCAAGCAGAATATTGAAGGCAACAGTATCAAATGCATTGCTAAAATCTAGAAGAGATAGTTTATGACTAAGTATGACATACTTTATAGATATAAGGTGTATAAATAATAGTAAGAAATTCAGTTCCAAAACTAATTTATTTCTATAAATGTGTAAATAATGTATATTATTTATATTCTAGAATGGCCGTCACTTAATACTTTTCAATCCCTCTTCAGCACCGACTATCACTCGGAAAATAGAATACATAATATTACATCTCTTTGAAAAAATTTTGTTAATTGAAAGGAACGTAAGTAAATTGAACTTACAAATGCCTGTGTTCAAAATAAATAATCATATATTGGCTGAATCTATTTTTATTTTCTTTAAACATCTATTTTTTTTACTTGTCACCATTTACTTGCAACTATAATTTATTGATTTTGCTATTTATTTACTTAGCTATATAAAAAAATTTTGAAAAAAGAATTTATATCCCCGGAGATTTAATCCGGTACGTCCCAGGTGAACACGCTAGACTCGAAGGCCTAGGTTCTGTCAACAAAGAGCTAAGTTGACATAGCTCTCGTAAAAATAAACATGTATAAACCTTTACTCGACTTAGGCCTTAAATTATTGATTGTTAAGTTCAAAATGGAATGCAGAAACTTACTGATAAATTTTTAGAATTTTACTGATAAATGTGCTAGGAACTAGTTAAAATATTTTGATACATATTAGAAGTGGATAATATGAATTTTCATAAGTGTGTATACCGTATGAATCACAGCTGCTGAAGCTGCCAATGTTTCTGTCTACTCAAAATCCTAATTCATTATCCTTCCATAAAGGTGAGTATAAACCAGAGAATTTACCTGTAATCAAATCATATAGCCTCTCTGCATATAACCTTTTTCATGAAAGAATAATGCTTTTGCACAACTCGATCTAACAAATTCACATGCAGAATGTATATAATTTTGTTGAAAAGGCTCAATAAAAATTGCCGTATTTAAGTGTTAGTTTTCCAATATATCCAACAGACCTATTTTATGTAAATTATAACTTAAAAAATTTAACACCGACACAACCTGCTGGTTTGTCAATAAACGTAAAAGTAAAATAGATATAAAAAAACGTAAACACTCATTTGCGGCGACCTCAAGCTCTAATGTATACTCACCATAAGATTTCTAGTATTATATAATTCTGTAATGTCTTATATCTAATATACATGTAAAACATTGGCACTCTATATGTTTGTACTCAAATAAAAGGATGATACAAAAAATAGTAAAAGAAACTAGAGAAAGCTCTTGTGCTATCTGTCATATTCTTAAAGAACCTGAAGATATATGCTGATTAGAAAAAAACAAAGATTGTCATTTGATTCACAGTTTGTACCAATAGATCAAAATATTTGGTATTTTTAGCTTAATATTAGTATAATATTACACTTTCTATAACAAGATAATTTATGAATAAAAAGGTTCTTATTTTATATTATCAATATTTATATAGTATAAATGAGATTCAAAGCTTATAGATATGGACATCATATGGAATGTTCAAAAGACAAAAGGAATGATTGATTTAGTTGCTGCATTTTATAAATCTGTGGATTATGTATAGAAATAATAATGGAGTATCAAAATCTTCTGATTGCTTGTATAAGATATATGATATTAACAAATAGTTTATTGGAATTGGAGTGTATTCAACAATTCTAATATGCACATAGGTATGATGCTTTTTTGTCCATGTCATTTATATCTGATGAAATTTAGTGCCTATGTAAATGTAAATTAGTAAACATGGACAGTTTACAATAGGGATGACGACTGGATAAAAAAAATGCAATTCTATTTAGTCCGTCAGTCAGATAATAGAAAAATATTAGATATGTATTTTTTTTACTTCAATTTAACAAGAAATAGCTTAGATAACAGGCATTAAAGTTGAGGAGTGGGGGCTCGCTACGTCACAGTTTAGTAGAAAACGTACCATAACGTGACGTCATGCGAAATTTCAACTCCATGTAACGCCGCAATTTTATGATTATGAAAAAAATAAAAAAATACGTGTTTAGTATTTTTTAACACTCTACCTGACAGACAAACAAATTAAAATTAGTCGTCATCCCTATTATATACATAGACATACATTACATAGATAAATAAGAAGTTTCTATAAATTAAACTTTCATATAAATTACTTATGAAATTAAGAAGCAGCTGCTATTTCCAAGGGCAGGCTTTCTTGAGTGATCCCCTCACTTTCTTCAGCTACATGTTCAACATGACCTGCTTCATCCTCATCTTTCAATGCTTCCTCATTATGCACTTCTATGAAACCATTCATATCCCCATTAACAGGTGGACCATTTGTAATATAGTTTTGCAATTTTTCTCCAAAATCTGGGTCTATCTCAGAAATTCCTTTGACCAGCCTATCTTGTTCCTCCTCAGCCCAAGTAGGATACCACTCATTAAATAACTTGATCTAAAACCAAATAGTCAAAGGTATTTATAAAAGTATTTTATTTGTATTATAATATTTATTATATGGTTCTATGGTTTTTAAAAACTGAATTTTGTGGAATTCTAAGCTAATAAATACACAAAACGCAATTATATATTAATTTATATAATACTCAGGAGAGAAATGGTATTGCTACTGCTAGCCTCCTCAATAGAATAATACATAGTTTTGAAATTTATACACAACTTCACTCATATAATTGATGGGTGACCCTCATGATGAACCTTATGATTTATTAAATCTGTATATTAAAAATATTGAAAGAATTATAAAAACAAAACTCTCAATAGATTTCTATCATTGTATAACTCTTGTAATTATTTTATTTTATAAACAACATTTGAGAAGTTATATAAAAAAATCTAAAAGTCAGTAATAGTGATATAACAAGTGATCTTTCATAAAAAAGATCTTGAATGACGACAATGAATCATAATGACAATTGCTATTAGCATCTAACCCTGAAACTACACAATTACTAGTGCATAGCTAGTTAGCAAATGGTTTACAAGTTGGATCTTGTTTCCTTACAATTTAAAACTGGGTGTAATTATTCTGTTGCTGTAATAACTTAATTAAGTAATATTTCACATAAAGAAATAATTCATACCGGGTTAGTCTTGTTTAAAAATAAATTAATAATTGCATTCTATAATAAAACGAAACTTACACGGCATTGAAATAAGCTAACAGGCTTGTCCTGGCAAGACAGGGCTGCCAGGGTGGTGGCTAGCTGGTCTGGCTGCCCCCCACATGCTGCAGCAAGTATAGGCAAGAAATCCTCTCGCTGCAGTTCACTGAACTCTCCAAACCATTGCAGTAAGTAGCGAAGCTGAGCTTCTGATGTTAAGCCTGTGGCTGACATCCTGTTAACAGTTCTCCTACTGAGCTGCTCACCTGTAATTGATACAGTTTCATTAAATTAAATGTTCACAGCTCGAAAAGGTTACATCAACTATTATAATTATTCTCAACTTATTAACTTTCTCATATTCATAACATAGATATTAAAATATTATCTAATATAAAAAACATTTCTTTGGAATTTGTTCGTATTTGTTTATCTAAATATACACTTACAAGTTTTAAGTGAAATAATATAATATCAAGTGACAATATTTTTTTTACATTATAGGAGTTAATAAGTAATTTTGCTCTATCAAAATAGAGCAAAAATCATTTCAATTGTTAAAAATTGATTGTATTGGTAATATTTATGAAAAAAAAAAACTTTAAATTATAAGAACTCACTTTCAGGGGCCATAGATAGACAGACAGCAGTTTCAATCAGTAAAGTCATTATTGAACAAAGACACAACGTATAATCACCGCGAAGGCTATAGAGAAACTAAGTTTCAATAGGTACAGTGGGTGCAGTGCACTATGCAGACTTTCTATCGTTAGTGACGATAGCGCCTACTCGAATGTGATTCGAGGTTAATATGTAACTGCCTAATAATTTCACCTTTCAACCAGATTATGTCACACACAAATTTTCACTTTCGATCTATATTATCCCAATTAACATTTTTGTTATACTTATATTCACGAAGATGTTGCAACACAACTCCAATAAATCAATTTGGCTTATTCATAATATCATGAGTAACCAGTTCTTTTTACTATTCTTAATGTTTAGACAAATGAAGTTAATGGGCAATATAATAATTGTTTGGAACCCGAAACTGGGTATGATACGTACGTACCTCGCGAATGCTTGATTTGTAGGTATTTTCAAATACTTCTTGGATAATGGAATTAGACACAAGGAACAAGGCCCAATCTTTTTCTAAAACACAACAAATCACAAACACAAAATTATAAACCTGTCTCGTCGACACATTTCAGTATTTTTGTGTGTTTTATTTTTTAACCCATTTTAGGGATTCCAATCCAATCTCGATTCGAATTCATCATAAATCGATTTTATTTTCAGTATCGATTTTTGTTTATAAAGAATTTATCTTTTATTTTTCTCATTACTTTAAAAAGCAACTGCATAATTAGTGGGCTAATTGTCTACTTACATAATATATCGCAATTATATCAAAATTATAGTGAGTGTGATAGCGATCTATGGAATTATGTAACGTTTACAGATATTTGAATGAAATTATTATTTGCGTTTATCGCTTGCTGTAAACAATTCCAATTTAATGTTAAATTAACGATATCTTTCAAAAATTTATGACTGCAATCGCTATCACATGCTAAATGGTTGTAGCTTGAAGTTAACGAATATTTATCTAATGTCAAATTGATGATGACCTGACTGTATAGTAATATCATCATTATTAATAACTTTCACTGTATGAAAAAATCTAAGATTATTTTGACTCAGGTAGTGTTTTTTGAAGATTGTGTTTTGTTATGTTAAATTAAAACAAAGAAACAGTTAACAATAGTAATCATATAAACAACAAGTAACTACTTACAACAAACCAGCAACTTAAAAAAAACACTGAATATTATTGATTTGCAATTTTTGTCCTTTAAAGGAGGACAGATTGATTTTGATGGGTTATTCCAATAATAACTCGATTTTTTCCTGCATCGGTCTTGAATCGCTTAGATTTGCTCCATTTCTATGCCAATGTTGAATTTGAACTATTGTCGATATTTCGGCTTCATCTAAAGTTGTGTTGTGATCATAATGTTTTCTTTTAAATATTAACAACTAAAGGAACCTAATCTATCCAGGCGTATCTCAAAAATTTTAAGCAATAAGTTAAAGCGATATATATATCATGGCCATATCGTAAAATTGGCCATTTTATGATCTGGCTAGCAATATCATGAAATGGTTGTATTTCAAGAAACAGTCACCTAAAATTGATCGTATCGTTAAAGAAGCACATTTAATGATATGGCAATCAATTTTCGATTTTGAAGTCGATTAATAAATAAAAAAGAAGTACTGCGTAGTGACACTTACATTTTCACAGTCGGGTCATTATTATCTACTATACCTATAATACTTATACTCTATGATCATTATAATAGGCCACATTTGACATTTTTTCTAAATCCACTTCAAAGTAATATAATGCTATAATAATATAATAGTTAAGATAATGCTATTTTTTTTTAAGTTACTGCAGCTGTACAATTGCAAGAATCTTTGTTAATAAAATATATTTATTGTTGACCAATAAACCTTTCTAAATGTAATAAATACATTTCATTCTAAACAAACTAAACGCCGCTACAATGTAATATGTGTGACCTCTTGAATTTTTAAAACAGTAGGAACGTATTTAAAAATTGGAAAAAATGTTTGGTCTTCTCGCAAGTTGATTTGATAATTATTTATGAAATTTATTTATGATTTATGGAATAACCACATTGGGATTTTATTTACTAACTACTCTCTCTAACACTAATCACTAATTGCTACTCTTACTGATCACTTAAATACTGTCTAAGCAACGTTACCGTTTTAATTATAAAAAAAAATCATTCTTTAAATATTTTGAACTCAAAAAATATGTTTATCAATACATTTGCAAAATCTTTTTGTATTAAGAATAATTTTCAGTATGGCATCGTGAATGCAAAATTAATAAAATAGAATTAATCTTTTAAATACGAAAATATTGACAAATAAAGACATTCAACCCGTTTGCATTTCTAACCACTAACACCATTGAAATCAATGAGGAAGTATTTAAAAAAATAGTTTCCGAAATCAAACTAGATGTCGCTACTGCTACGTGCTTGATTTCTCCATGATAACCTTTCCAGTTTTCTTTCATGTATAAAAGTAAATTAGTTTTCAAAACTCAATAAACAAGTCATATTCTATTTGTACTTTTTTGTATTTGTATTGATATCTAAGTTTCGAAACTTTCCAAATTTCAGTTTTTAAATATGTTCCTTTTAGAAACGGAAATTACTATCTTTTTAGATTATTCTTTCTCTTTAAGTTTTTGCATTACGCTTAGTAATAACTGATTTGTGCGTTATTGTTGCGTCACCACAATACATTGATATATTGATAATAATCATAAAATATCACAATAAACTCATTCTATTCGCATTTCTTTATAAATCATATCGATCCTTTAATTTAGTCTAACAATTCATGAAAGACGCCTCACTATCGATTTCAGATTGATAGAAGTCATATATGTGACTTTATTGATCCCAAGATTTGGCTGTATGGCTTAATTCCTTCGCCTGTTCCGTGGACGATACTACTACTATGTACTACTGTAATGTGATTTTTATAAGAAAAAAATATAATTTTCAATACTAAGGACATCCAATGATCTTTGCTTCAAAAGGAAATAAAAATATAATTAATATTTATATGATTTTATAATGTTACGTTTACGATGGCATTGGTAAAATAATGACAACTATGTTGTTCTGAATTTTTATATTTATTGTCTTGAACCACAATTACATCACTCGTGTTTACTTTTGTCGGTATATTTTGGTCGGCACGGAAAGAAATCTTCAGGATGTTCCCGTGCATTGCGTTCATGGAAAGAGACATCGTTAGGTTTGTGTTACTCCGCACTGGGGAGAGCGGGTATGTAGTAATGCATTTCCTAACGGTAAAAAAAAATAAGAAAAGTATTTAGGTAGCTGAATTTCTACAAGTTTTGGTAAATACAAATATTCCAAACTTAAAGTCACGTCCAAAAATATATGTAATACCAATCCATGATTTCTTTAGTTTTTGCTTCAATTTAACAAGAAATGGCTTAGATAATAGGCATTAAAGTGAGGAGTGGGGGCTTCCGACTAGTCATATATCGACGCTGGAAAGCAAACACGTAGTAACCCGCAAAACCAAAGAAGTTCTTCAGAGCAGAAAAGCTTTTATTTTATTTCGATAAATAATTCTTATAAACGTCCATGGTAATAAATACGGTGTTCCTTAATCAATTTATAAGGAAATAAGATATATTAAAAAATATATATAAAGATTTACCACTTTAAATATCCCACTCCTCACTTTAATGCCTATTATCTAAGCCATTTCTTGAAAAATTTAAGCAAAAGTTAAAGAAATAACGGACTAAACAGGATTTTTTTTTTACCAAGAAAACATCCCTATTATTATATAATAATCATAATATAATATAATAATATACTAATCTTACTTCTTCTTCTTCTACTTATCTAAGTTATTAATACAATGGAAAACGCAGTTTGACTTAAAATTAGGTAAGTACCTACTTGTAGGTATTGTAATTTGTGCAACAGAATTGCTACAAATCAATATTAAAGGTAACATTAGTATTTTTGGACGTCACTGTACAACAACGCTATATATTTACCGAGGTACAACTGTCGTACACTCAAGTATATTTTGTACTCAAATGATTATACCTTATATAAAAAACGACTTATCTAATTTGCTCCTTTTTCGTCATTATCACAGATGATTTTAGTGCCTTTACATAATACTTGTTGCAACTTGGACTTAAGGCTCTAACCCCCTTTTATACAGAGGAATCATTGGCGATATATATCTTATCATGGTGACAACCAACAAATTATGGTTATCCCTATTAAGTAGAATGAAATGAATCTAATATTCAATCACCGAAACAACCCCACCAATACTTAAGCAATATATTTCGGAACGGAATCTTATTTTCTAACTTTTATTATTTTATTCGGCAGAGACGCTACTTGGATTTTGTAATTTTGCCTGTTAGTTAGACTTCTTCTACGATTTGGACCACTTTTTATTTCCATGATAAAAGACCTAAGCTTTAAATGGCACGTTTATAATCTTTAATCACTCCAATAAATTGGACTGCCTTTACCGTATAATATTATTTTAAAAATATATAAATAAAGTTAGATCCCATAAAAGTTTGTTAATAACGTTATTTTATTGTGATCTTCCAATTTCTAAATCTCATCTTATCTCAGAAAATTTCACAGAACACAGAAAAAAGATAAATTTCGCTTTACCCATAAAGTCTTATGTGAGAAAGCGTTTAGCTTATTAAGAAGTTACTTGTTTATTTCCAATTGAATTTAGTTTCTTAATCATATATTTTAGTTTGAGAAAAATATTTGATGTCTCAAGTTGCAGGTACTGACGTAAAATGGTGTAATTGCGATATATGACCATAAGCGTGTTTTAGTGTAGCTATAAAAAATACAGTTTCAAATAGTTACTCCTTAGAAGCGAAGAGCTCGCTGTTCATATTTATTAATATATTAAGTGCAATATTTTACGTGTACAATGAGGAAGTACTAAAAAAAGCACCTCCACTAGATGGCCTCTAGCAAAAGTTGATTTTTGCAGGAAACGAATGGAACAAAGACAGTCATTTTCATTCCTATTAAGTAACATATTAAAAAACGGAAATTTGAAAAATTTGAAACTTAGAGATCAATACAAATACGAAAAAGTACAAATAGAATATGAGCTGTTTATTGAGTTTTGAAAACTAATTTACTTTTTAACATGAAAGAAAACCGGAAAGGTTGTCATAGAGAAATCAAGAATGAACCGTGGCGGCATCTAGTTATATTTCGGGAACGAATGATTTTTTTTTAATACTTGCTCATTGTACATTTATACAATTATTTTCTATTTCATATGGTTTGCCTTCTACTGCTGACTAGACATTGGATAATATTCTGTAGGTAGGAGGAACCTATGTACATACGACAAAATTTAACACTTAAATTTAAATTAGGTATTCTAAAATGATTAAGTTAATCACATAATAACTATAATAAACAGTTTTTCAATCGAACAAATTTAAATTATCAAATCTAACATATTACTCATTGCACTTATTTTAGTTTCAGAGTCTCTCAATTTAGATGAGTACTATATATTAACGAATTTGCACAAATTTAATGCTCTCTCATTTTCATCAGGTCCATATTATTTTTATATTTTTATATTATTAAAAGCTTGACACCAAGAACAGTATAGTTTACAAACTTACATAAACCACACAACAAGCTCGCAGAGTTGATTTGATTAAGACTAAGCTTAATGCCAAAAGATCCTTAATAAATAAATAAATAAAACGCCACGAAACTCACGCACGTCAATGACATAGATAGAGACAAAAGATTGTGTATTGCGCATCGCTATTAACCCACTACGATCATTATAATAGTTTTATAAACTCCGATAAAAAGTTAAAAAGGATATAAATTGAAAGACTCCGACTATTAATTCTAAAATGCTTAAATATATCACATATATTAGAAGGAATTAAGTAGTAGAATTTCTTCGGGGTGGTTTTTCTCTGAGGCAGATGTATCGATAACCAGCACATACAAATAATGCCTGCTTTTTTTTCCCAGTACTCGAGATATTTTCCCAAAACTCTAATGGTTGCCGATTGCATTTTAGCGGACGGTATAATACTGAAATAGATGAAAAACCAGTCGTAGTATTGTGTAAGCTTGTATGGTGTTAACGGTCATGGCTGTGGCCATGGTCACCGTCCCCATGGTCGTGGCTGTGCGTGTGAGTATGAGGAGCTGAAATAGAAATGCCACAGTGAGAAGTGTGTCAAAACGTTTAGATTTCTAACTTAGGGGTTACAAAACGATTGTTGTAAATAATGTTTAACGTAAATTACTCTGAAATAGTTGACATAGGCTTACATTTTCTTGCAGATTACCTAATATGTGACTCTCGTGATTAAAATTTAATTATTTTACACGTTTACTTTTAACCATGGTACAAATTCATTTGTGTCAAATGTTATTGGAGAAAACTAGCTATAAAGCTATAAACACAGATGAATGAACGATCGCATAGTAGATAGATAGACATGCGAATAATCTTTCCTACACAACTCCTTTTTTTATGTATTACGAAGTATAATGAAACTTACTTAACAACTTCAATCCGAACATTAGGAAGAATCCAATTAGCGCAGCGCCGAATTGCATCATGCCTGTCCTGTCGCCTTTCCATATCTCGAAGAATATCACGTACAGCAATGTACCTGACGCCAAGCCTTGCAACACCACCGAGTATACTCCAGCAGCGGTTGCACCTTCTCCACCCACCAGTAGCATGCCAATGCCGATACCGATAGGCGATACGATGGCGAAAGTAGTGATGTAGACTACTGCGAGCCAAGTCTTCGTCTTGGTGGCAATAAGTTCAATACCAATGCAGAAAGCAATAACAAGCTTGTGCGCTGAAATGGCGCCCAGCATGTACCTGGAATAAATATATTTTGAAATTTTGTGGCTTTAGACAACATTCTAATTTGGACTAATTTTAGAAGACTCTATCCAAATGTACAATGTACTGGGCTACATTTTATTAAGTGGTATTCTAAAATTACCAAAAGTGAAAAATAACTAATTTAATAAGTATCTATAGGTACTACTTTGAAAAATTTAAGCCCAAGTATTTTCGAAAGTAAAATGCTATTATGAAAAAATGTGTTATATACTAAAATTTTTATTATTTAACTGTCAGTTTAAAATCATTTTGTTTTTATTGCTTGGCAACGCCATCTATCAGGGAGTAGATAATTATACAAATTATCAAAGTGTACAAAGTATACTGTATATAAATCTATTCACCGCTAGATGGAGCCATTAGATTGTGCAACTAATTACCAGACATTGGAAGTGCTAGATTCCAAGCCAACAGCAAGACCTTCGAATAATTCGTGAATGGAAAGGGCTAGGACAATAAGCAACCCACGCAGAGCTGACGTAACGTTATCACCAAGTTCGGCTGGCATGTGACTATGATTATGTGAATGGCCGTGGTGAGGATCTACTTCCGGATCCTGTAGTAGAAAAAAAAAGTTATAACACATAGGTATGACTAAAACGCTTTCGTTCACGATATTCTCATTCCACTTTACCACTTATTATTAACTGCGAGTTGTTTGCTTAAAGCAAATACATAAATTAAAAGGCGTGTAGGTATAAAAAATTGAATAATAGCGTGTACCCCTTGTTCAGCAAGAAACTAACTTGTTAGTCAATCGACATTTGAAATTCCTGTTGACTGTATTGTCTACAGTTTTGTTATGGTAAACTTCTTTGCAGCACTCCCAGGAACATCGGAAACGGAAAACGGTACTACGTGCTGATTTTCCTACAAAGAATGTTTGTCAACTTCTACACCATCCGTATTTTAAGTCTAATGGTATTTTACTAACATGCTTGATAACGACCATCTATTATTTCTATGACAGGAAAGGAAGCATCTTAGAAAATGCTTTAAGTTGAAATAGATATATGTGAATTTGAAACGTTGCAACAGTTCCTACGGCTAGGCTGCCTGGATACCTATGAGAGATATCTCCCGGAAGCATAATGTATAAAAAATTAAATTACAATAAGGTTGCGCCTTAATAAAAATGCAACCAAGAATAGCAATAGCCTTGGCTGAAGAGAGGTAGGAATGTAGGACATAAAAAAGATGGCCATCAAGTTGATTGACCAGATTTCGTCGCCGTTTTCAAGGGCGATTGTGTTTGAAATGTCAATCAATAAGCTTTGGGCGATCGATTTTGTCCCGTTCAAACCTCTCCTAATTTTAGGAAAGTAAGACATTGACTAAAATTCCAAATTTCATCAGTACACTAAGTAAGCGAAAGTAAGTAAGAAGAGAAGTAAGAATCTTAAGCTCAAAAATCTTCAATCCTTGGTTGCATTTTCAGTCGTTATACAATCAGTTAATCGCACTGAATCCTCCAAGTAAATTGTGGTTCGTTAAATCTTTCGATGTTAATTCTATCGATGTTTTTGGAAAGATATAATGAAGACGAAGACTTTTCAAAATCCTCGATATACTTTTTTGTTATTAACGAAAAAACAACATTAAAGTTATTAAATACGAACCCCTTTTTTCATTGAACCTGTATCGATGAGGTCAGCTGTTGAGTTTGTGACGCTTCTCTCGGCGTTCTCGGCTCTACTCCTGCGCACGCTCAGGTTTCTCACGAGTGGTGCCATTTTACCGTTTTTTCTCTCGCGATAGCGAATGTACATATGAACCAACTCCTCTACTAAGTACATGATGAAGAAACCGCAGCATGTCAGCAATGCCGATAGCGAGAATTCAAAGTCATTCATGAGCCCAATATCTGGAAAAGAAATAGCGAAATGTTAAGTTTTGTATGCTGATTTTTAGGAAAATATAGATTGTGTGAGCCCCTTATCATTTCGTCTAAATCGTTGACTCATATCCTAACAATATTCGGCTATTTCTCAAGGGGTTGCCATGATTCCATAGAAAGTCTCGTTGTCCAAGGTTGGGTAGAAGGACCTTTTTTTTTATACCGAGGGGAACTGACTTTAACGTGCCATCGACCTGGACGAAAGGCCGACTGAACCTGGGCTCTCCCACTGCAAGGGACGGCGGTCCAGTGCAAAACCCCCTGTTCCACCCTCGCGCATAGTCCGGGACTTGGTATCTTAAAATAAGTCCAAGGTGTGGATAGAAGGACCTAATAAAGTCCATGGTAGGCAGATAAAGCTCAAAGATGTCAAATGGCACGGAGAGAAGGCGAGATGTCATGAGGAGATCCGGCCACGACCAAGAGTGTTACGACTGCGATGAATATGAAGTCGTCGAACTCGTCTGAGGATGGTTGATTTTTATGTAAGTTAGAAAACAGGCTAGGTTGCATTAGAAGCTACAAATGACATAATGATCATTCATGAGATGACCGCATCGCGTAACGTATACTGAATTTTAACACAAGGATTTATAATTTATTTGCAGTCTCAGAATCTAAAGTTTTCGTATAGGAGTTTTTATTACATCGGTTAGGTTAACTAAGCTATCCACTGCAATAAAGACAGATAATGTTTTTAAGCAACTTATTTTGCTTTTGAAAGTAGTTAAATAACTTGGTCCATAACATATACAATTAGTAATACGCTGAATATCAACATACAAAACATTAGTTTTCTATTATTTTCAAATAAACAATATATTTTACAGGAAAGTTTTATGAAAAACAACCTCTAAATTCAATTTCCTCCGCAAACATTCTTCTGTTCGTGGTGTTCAACTATGGAACCGACTTCCCTTAAATATGACACTGCTTTCATCGTGTCTTATATATGGAAATATCTATTATTTGTTATGACCAAAATTATAGTAGATAAATATATTTTCCAAATCATTGCCAACCTTACGGTTTGAATTGCCATACTAATTATTTGGGCCAGGTGCAAACAAGCCATTTGTTTTAAATGGTAATATCATTTAAATGCACTTCTATTACCTCTTTACATCTTACTCTCCCAAGACGTCTTAGTTGGCTGGAAGAGATCTCTTCTAGAGATAATTCCACCCTTTTTAAAAATTACTCACATGTATTTATGTTACATTTTAAGTGTAATAAAGAAACTATAGAGTCCTTCGTTGCTGAAATTAATGTAAGTTTCAACGGTAGTTTTCCCTTGATACTTAATCTGTGGCCGACTCTTAAGCAATTTACTAGTTCAAGGCATTCAGATTTAAATGAACTAACGGCTTATTATATTTAGTCGGATACATACCTATCTAGTGTTATTTAATCTTAATCCATATGTAAATTAAATGGTAAACCTGAAAATGCATCCGGGAACAACGGCTTACTGTGCCTTCCGAAGCACGGAATAGCTCAATATATTAATTTTTTTTGGTCACCCATCCCGTGACCGACCCTTGCTAAAATTGCTTAATAATAAAAATCGCGGCCTACGGTGCTTGGCCACTACGCCACTGAGCTACCGATTCCGATCCTATTAACATAGTACATAATGCATTCAAAAATCAATATGTATGTGTCATGTGGGATACCATTTCATAGTCTCTAATGTGAAAGACGTGCCTCAGTCAATATAACGAAATACGATATTTGTAGCCTTGTGGCTGTATAGATGCATAATGCAAAGGTCTCATTACGTTTCTTTTTAATCTGTCTTGCAAAACCTTTTTGCTGGTAACGCAATCGACTGATTCTTGACTTTATCGGATAGATATGCAAGAGGGAAATCATTGCGTGAGATATTTTGTATAGAAAGTCTATAAAATACTTATAGTCATATGAATGTTTAATCATAGAATTATTTTGTGATAAAATTGTGAGTTTGTAAATTACACGACTTCCGAGGTTTTTTGTATGTTACTCTCAGAATAAGACTTTCTACTACTGTTCACAATATCAAAAATGACTATGACTGTGGTATTTAATACAAAATAGATTATTAAATTAGTTTTGCGAGTAAGTTTTGACGAAGTTAGGCGCTTGAAATATAAGTATAAGGCGTTTAAAAATAAGAAAAGACATTTAAGTCCTAAAGAAACTGAAGTATAAGATTATATTTGCGAGACCATAAATGGGGAATGGGAGTTTCCTAATCACGATTAAATCCTAAGGTATTAAGAAACCTGAGGTTTAAGTCGTGGTTTTACCCGTATAATTTTTCGCTGCAATCTTCATTCTATAATAACTACAATATTATTCTAAAAACATTATCTGTACTAATTTGGTTTTGCTTTAAAAATGATCATGTTATAGTTATATTAATTTATTTGTTTAACCTAGTACAATTAATTAACAGAATGTGGTTATAAAATTGTTATAAATCAAATATTTATTTTTGATTTCCAAACGTTGGCATAACCATTTAGTTACAATAGGTTGGGAGGCATGTTTAAAAAAGTAAGAAATGTTATTGTAGGCGACATGCTGGAAAGTTGCTTTGCATTTTCTGTGATTTAGGGTTAGGTATTATTTGTTATTATATTTCGTATCATGCGTGCATGCATGCAAGTTTTAATTTATAGTCCTTATTAGCTGTCACTAGGTATCAGGTATTATCATCCTTCCGGCTATAATTGCTATCAAACACATAATTCCAAATTGGCCTGTATTTTTATTGTATCTTTTATTTTAAGTTATGAAACCAAATGAACATTACATATTACTATAATCGGATAATAATATTTTTGTTTTATGTCAGTTTGGCTCAATCAAATTCACTAATTGAATTATTTGTAAGATTATCTTTATTTATTTTATAATTAACCGAACTGGGTCGTTAAAATTAGAACGAAAAAATGCACATTAGAATAACCCCTTTGGTCCTTGTGTTGCTGACCCAGAAGCCGCGTCGACCTCGAGACGTTTTGCGCAGTTTTCGTCTGCACTTGCTCTTATCGACCCGGTAAGTACTCTTAAAGTTTTTGTATAAATCCTTCACCTTTATGGTCAGTTAAAGCCTATATATGTATATAGTTTTTGAAAATAGAAGTAATTAAATAACAAGTATTTGAAAAGGGTTTTTAAATTTTTATATCCAAATTTATTTTCAGAATTAGAAGCCGTCCCTGTTGAATGATTAAAATGTCATATAGATTCAACTAGAAAACTAGGCGTGCGATTTGAATATCTCCATTCAATTAAATGGCTCGAACGCCGCCCAATTGAACGGTTGTACCATTCAAATGTCATATCCATAAAGACAAAACTTTTTGATTTGATATGTATAAAAGTGTATGTCTATCTTTTTATTTCTATAATTTCTTTCACTTTAAATTTTCATATCCACAGAATATTTATTAATATACTATACATTTCATTCTATAGCTAGTATTATATAATAATAATAATCAGACTATTCCAGCCGAGAACTTTAAGCTTCCGACTCCACAATTTACGACGAACGCTTTGTTGACTCATTCGGTCCGTAGTAAATAACCTTGAATTCATCGTAAAATGTCAGCTGAACTTACAGGCGAGATTGCTCTTTGTGTTACTTAAGCACTTTATTTCTATATTCTTATTTTTTAAGTTTCTCCGTAAAAACTAATAATAGACGGAGAGCTCGTGACAAAAATGTTAAAGAGCTTTCAAAAGCTAGATTTTTCAGTATGTTAAAGTACAAAAAATTACTTGAGAAAATGTCATAACTTACTTAACCAATAGAGGAGAATTTAAATGAAATAAGAACTGTTAATAACTTATAATAATAGTATTGTTACTTTAAATAATATTTATTACCGCATTCAAATTAAATTAGAATTTTTTCACGTAGCCGGTTTTTTATATAGGGTAAGGATGCCGAATATGAGATACCATTTTTATTTTTGGCTATAAAACATAAATTATTGCACTAATCATTATGAAAATTGCAATATTTGATAGGGTATTTAATTAAGTTTATTGATGAGAGACCGTTTAGTTCTAAGTATAATACATTTTTAATTATATCAAAAAATATTAAGAAGTTCAGAAATTACGTCTCAGGCAAATGGTCTCCTATTATGAGATACTGAGGGTTGCTAATAAGAGACAGTATCTCATATTAGGTTCTTTAGGGTTTGAGTATAGATTTAGAGAAAAAGGAAAGAAATTAATTTGAATTAAACTTTTTATTGGCTATATTCTCTAATTAACAACATCATACTCCTAAATAAATAGATCTGAGTACGACTTAATATATGTATGTAACGTAATAGTTATAATTTATATTAAACTTATCATAATCACAGTGGTTTTCAAATGGCACTTATTAAACAGTATCAAAAACAAAAAACTTATGCTAAATGTTAGATATGATTTATGTCAGACTTATCATAATCACAGAGATTTTCAAATCATACTTATTAAACAATATGAACAAAAGTCAAAACTTTTATTCTAAATCTTAGATATTTAAACACAAATTACACAAAAATCGATCTGTGGTTACTTCTCCACAATCCGTGGTCCTAGGATTTCCTTTTGATCGGGCCCATCTAGTAAAAAGGATTTTTCAAATAGTCATATTTTTATATATCCTAATACGAGATATCTCATTTTAGGAGCACTCGCATGTCTCATATTAGGAAAACATCTACATTCAACAAAATGGCTGCACATTATTTCTTAGTAAAGAAAATGCAATAAAACTGCATATGTATCATAAAATTCAAATTAAAATCATTCAATGTAATTAATACAGTTGTAGTATACCTTATAAATATTTGATGAGAAAAATTTGGTTTTGGGGTTTCGTGAAAACCCACGTGTACACAACCTAAATTCGCCTTGGACTGGGAAGCACCAACACACGTTTTGATCTTTTGCCACGTGGCTCCTAGCGG